TATTAAGGAGAGGAACAGAGGTAAATGGAGAGACAGATTTCCAATTTTTATGAAGTCAGCAGCACTCCCTCCTGATCCTGGTGTGGTAGGGTAAGAAGTCATAAAATACTCTTCTAACTGATGGATTCAAAGGGAAATCGTGTGTGTGTATGTTGTTGTCGTTCAGTCATTTCAGTCGTGTCCAACTTTTCATGACCCCATTTGGGGTTTTCCAGGCAAAGCTGTTGGAGTGGTTTGCCATTTCCTTCTCCAGCTCATTTTACAGATGGGGAAACTGAGGTAACCAGGGTTAAGTGATTTGCCTAGGCTCACCCAGCTGGTAATTGTCTGAGACTGGATTTGAATAAAATACAGCAGTAAAGAGAAAAATATCTTCCACTCTTGTTATGCCACTGATTTATTGGGCTTGAAGAAAGTATCAATAAAAGGGGCAATCTGTGGTTTCATCCTCATTACAAATTCAAGATCAGTTTTGCCTATAAATGTACAAGTGAATTCATTTCAACCCAATTTGGTTCCACAAACATTCACATGACCACTCTGTAGAAGGCATCGTACACAGGTGAGATTGCCCTTAAAGAGCTCATGGTCTAATAGGGTCCATTGAAGATAGAAGCAGATGCCAGTGAAAGGCTAAATGTAGTCTCTACCCTTTGAAAAATGTAGCAATCAACTTGGGGCTGGTACTGCTATACTTTGGGGCTCTTAGAGGTGATGGTCATATTGTACATAGTGGGCACTCCAGTGGGGGATGAGAAAGCTGTCAGTACTGCCCTGATTTAGTGGTTCAGCCAGACCTGCGGGCCCTCTTAGGTGAGAGGCAGTTCCTTAGTCTGGCTTGTATCTGGCTTCTATCAAGTTTGTCTGGCTCACAAAATGGAGAAGTCTCCTTTAAAGTACTTACTATGTTATCTGTGTTTGTGTCTTCTTTTATCTTGTGTCTTCTTTTATCAGACTGTAAGTTTCCTGGAGGTTGAGACCAAGTCTTATCTGAACTTTATATATCTTATCTAACTTTTATATCCCTCATTTGGTGCTCTGCATACAGAAAGAGCTTAATAAATGTTGAGTAAAAGTTGCCAACCTGGGCAGCTAACACTTTGGACTTCCTGGGTTTCCTTATTTCCTTATGGATGAGTTCATCAGTTGAGTGGTGAAACCACTTTTCCCCCTCTCTTCCTAGTAGACCTTCAGATTCACAAGTGTGAAATAGGAGTAAAGAACTTAAGAAACTGATATAAAGACAGTTGATGAGTCTTCAGAATTGGGGAGGAGTCCCTGGAATGTAGATTATCTTTGGGGAACCCCAGGGAAGATGGTAGTGGAGGACATGCGAGTGGGAGATGAAGTGATAGTAAGTGCCTTTGTCAATAGGTTAAAAATCTCCAAACTAGTATCTTTAAAAGCTTTAATATGTGAAGATCTGTTTTTCCTTTATTGAGCTCCTCTTAGCTTATTACAATCAATAAATACTTGAATATTTTTGGTGGGCCTAGAAGAAATTTTGCTTGGTGGCACGATGCTAAAGATTTAGATGGTTGGTTAAGGGGAGGCTTTTCCATTAATTCATACCCTCCATGGTCTTGCCTTTCCGTTTTCCCATGAATAGTCGGAAGTTGCCAAGGCCTATAACACAAGTCCTATAGCTAGCTAGATCAAGCACTTCTTAGGTTATTACTACATTCCAGATACTGTGCTGAGCCTTGGGGTTACAAATGCAAGAGAGCCAGATATTCCTTACTCTCAAGGAACCTACATTCTAGAGGAAGAAGACAACACATAAAAGGGGAGCTGGAAAAGGAAGTGGGAGAGGGGCGATGCTTGCATTGGCATGCCATGGAGGTGGCTGGGCAGTTTTGTGGCAGGCAAGATAAGGGAATTAATGGAGGGAGGAGGAGGATGCAGGGGAGGAGTCCAAGGTTGGGGAAATGGAAGGAAGAGCTTAGGCAGCATGTGTGGTATGGAGGCCTGGTTTTAGGTAAGATAAGGTAAAAGCTCACCAATACAGGGAGGAGGAGGATGTAGGGGAGGAATCCAAGTTGGGAGATGGGGGGCAGTATGTGAGGTGGAAATGATGCCTAGAATATAAACCTCATAGTGAAGAGGTGGTAGGGAAGTCATATAGTGTATGAAGGAGCTGACTCTAGTGGGTTAGTCTCTGGTATTCACTTCTAAATTTAGTTGCTCTAGTCAGGGTTACTTACAGGCTAGGGTTTCGAAAATTGTAATAAATCATCCCAGCTCTCTTTCCTGAGGGAATCAGAATCTAATATATTCCCTCGGTCTTTGGGAATTAGAATTAGAAGGGACCTTAGAAGCCATATCATCCAAGCCTGCCTTTTTTCAGTTTAGACTGAGAACCATTGAGGTGAAATAACTTGTTCAAAGTCACACAGGTAGAGCCCTAAGGTCACAGAGCCAAACTGGCTGCAGACTCACTCCTCTGCCCACTACAGTCTGTTCCGATGTCATCCTTGAAAAGCATTTGTGATTAGATTGCTTTAGGCATGAAGTTGCTTATCTACACTGAAGTTGTATCATCTACGCTTTTTTCATCTCTGTGTCTGTTGTTCTAAGGTCTCCACTAGAAAAATATCATTAAATATCTTAATTGCCTTGGGTTGGGCTGTTATTATGGTTCCCTCAGTTTTATGCCTTCATTTAGCTGAACAGGGCAGTATGGAGTCTTTGTTTGAAGCCATTTGCCCAGATAGGCTGTAATGTGTATCGGGCAAACTTGTTTTCAGCGCTCTCTGTCTCTGTCTCTGTCTCTCTGTCTCTCTCTCTCTCTTCCTCCCTCCCTGTCCTCCTCCTCTTCTTCCTTCTCCTCTTCCCCTCCTTTCTCTCTTTTTCCTCTTCCTCTTCTTCCTTCTCTTTCTCTCTTCCTCCTTTCTCTCTTCTTCTTCCTTCATCTTCTCTCTCTCTTCTCTCTCTCTCTCTCTCTCTCTCTCTCTCTCTCTCTTTCTCTCTCTCTGTCTCTCTCTGTCTCTGTGTCTCTCTCTGACAGAGGAATGGATGATCCCTTCCAACTTCCACTGGCCACTTTCATCTCCTCATTGATAGGACCATTCTACAAACAATCAATCAATATGTCCTCAGTCCTTGTTGTATTCCCTGTTTTGACCTTAAAGAGGGATATAACAGAGGATGCTTCCAGACCCGTCTCTCTTTAATACATAGTTGGCAAAAAGATGCCCCTAAAACCTAGGTCTCACTATGTTAACCCAGTACTGAAAAATTTTCAGTGGTTCCATTTTGCCTTTTGTTACAGAATCCTAATCTGGCCCCTGTTTACTCTTCCATTCAAATTGGCCTGATAGCTGTTCCCCATACTGGATATTGCACCTCATATCTCTGTGCTTTTGTGCACTTGGTCCCCCATATTTGAAATGTGGTCATACTTCTATGGTATAAAATTTCTAAATTCCTTCAGAGCACAGCCTTGGTTTCATTTCCTACCTGAGGAGTTTCCTGGTCTCTCAAGTTTATTAGCCCTCCTTCTTGCCATTACTGTGTATATAAATACTTATTATACAAGTGTTGAATACCCACAGTAGAATGTACACTCCTTGAGGCATGTGGTTTCATTTCTATCTTTGCATCCCTCCGTTCCTCGCATAATCACACCTTGTAGATATAGGAGAGGCTTAATAAGTATTTGTTGAATTGAATTGAAAAAAGAGACTACTTGGTGGTTTGCCTTTCAGGAGCTTAATAGTCTAGTTGAGGTGTCAAGGCTAATGTACATGAAACCTAGAGAACAGAGCAAGGCCGAATACAATCCAGCAATGTCGGGTACCTGGTAGGAATTCAGAAAAGGGAAGGGGAGGGATCAGGGTGGTCTGGAGTAATGAAGGATGAGTAGGACATCAGGGCAAATTTGGGCAGGCTGTCAGGAAAGATTTCTTAATGATTAGAGCCATACAACAGTGGGATGGACTGTCTGGGGGAATTAGTGGGTGTCCTTTCCCTGGAAGTCTCTGAGCACAAGAGCTAGATGACGATGTATTGGGTATGTTAGAGAACCAAGACTTTTTAGGGTGTGGGGTGGACTGTGTAGCTGCTGGGATTCCTTCCAGCTGGGAAATCCTTTGATTCCAGGGTATAGAGAAGGTGCTCTGGAATTGGGGGTGCAGCATCACCAGCCTCAAAGGCCTGATCCCTGGCTTCTTTAAAACAAAAGCCCTAGCAGAAACTGAGCCTGAGCTTTGGAAAATAAGGGGAAAATTCTCTTTGAAGCAGCAGGACATTCCCCGATTTGCGTGTTCCAGTTGTTCCTCACGCATGCCAAGCTAATATCCACCTCTGTGTATGTTTTTTCCTCTTTGAATTCCATTCCCTTTTCCCTCAGCCTAGACAATTCCTCTCCATTCTTCCAGGCCCAGAACTGCCATGAAATTTCCCATATCCCCTTCAACCAACACTGACATGTCCATTATTTAGGTGTCAAACAACTTAGCCCTTAAATATTCTCTCACTATCATTATGTGTTTCTGTCATGTTGCCTCAATAAGAGTGACATTTTCTTTGAGTGTAGGGTATGTGCCTTATTCTTCTCTTGTATGTGTATCCTAAAGCCCTCAATGCAGACTTGGGCACACAGTAATTCCTTGTTGAATTAAGATGTGGCCTTGGGAGAAGCAGCATGATATAGTGGGAGGAGCCCTGGACTTGGAGGAAGAATGATCTGGGTTCAAATCCTGCCTCTTATACTTATTAGCTGTGGTACCAGGGGCAAGGCATTTACTAACCTTTCAACACCTTAATTTCCTCATCTGTTAAACAGAATAATGCTATATGAAATGCCTATCTTGCAGTGTTGCTGAGACTGAAATAGCATATTGTATGCGAAGTGCTTTGCAAACCATGGAGGGCTATATTAAATGTCTGTTATTACAATTGCCCTGAGCTTAAATAGTTGGTGATGTCAGACCATGTATAGAAAGCAGACCACCCTCATAAGCTCATTAATAAAGCCTCCATTCTTTTCTTAATTGCAGATTGATTTGGAACCAGAAGGAAGAGTGTATGTGATCATCGATCTCTCTGGGTCATCAGGTGAAGGTAAGAGATCTTGGCATTTTATTTCTTCTGCTCCTGAGTCAGTGTGCTCTGAAAGTACAGGTTTTTGTCCTCGATTTGCTTTGACGTGGCACAGATGTCACAGAACTGATGTTTAAAGAAAAAAATAAAAGATGGATTTGAATGCTAAGGCCTGGATACCAAAAGGTAAAAGCCATCTGTCTACCTGTTAACTCTCTTAGAGAACAGGGATTATTTTGATTTGCTAATCTACTTTACCAAGAGAAACTGATGGGAATAGGAGGTACTCTGGCGTCGGTTTGTAAGACAAGCTTGTATAAAGTGACCGTTTCTCAGCATTCACACTCATGTTTTTTGGTGTTTGGAGCACCTCAGTATTCAGAAGTGAAATGACTTAGTCACCAATATCTATAGCTACATTTGCATATCTATATCTGAATTTCTGTAGAAGCATTCCTTATGGGAGCAAACATATTGACCTTGTCTTTTGTGTAATCATAAGCAACTGAGTGTTAGTTTGTAGAGAAATCTCCCAGTTATTCATGGGTGATGGAGCATGGTGATTTCCTGTTTCTAGGGTGCTTTGTTCTTCCTCTTTTCTGCTCTTTTCCTAGGTCTCTTAGGTAATTTGTTTGCTCTTTGATACCTGAGGGTTTGTGTTGGGGGTGAGAATAAAATCAAGGGAACTGTGTGAAACAAAGCTAGACACCTTTGCTCTGGCTTAGTGTGTCTGATCAAAAGATTTTTTGGAACAGTAAATTGGGCTATAGTGCTATTTAGGGATTAGGATTATTTGGGCTGTCTTGCCTCCTCTTCTCCCTGAAAAGCATGGGAAAGAACCTTTGGCTGCTTCGTCAAAAGAAAAGCTCAGTGTCTATGAGTTATTTTAGTGGTTAAAGAAATGGGGTTGGTCCTGTAATGGGAAAGTCACAGAGTTCTCCACACCCTTCTTCAAAGTCAATTTTGATAGAGCGTGTGTGGCCAGACTGTAATAATTAAGTTCATAGACGAAGACTACCACACCCACATAATCTCTACTTCTCTCCCTTTTAGGGGAAAAAAAGTGTGTGTGTGTGTGTGTGTGTGTGTGTGTGTGTGTGTGTGTGTGTGTGCATGATAAAATAAGGGAAAGGAGGAAATAAACAAACATTTGTTAAGTGCTTACTATGTGCCAAGCCCAAGGAAAGACAGTCTCTCCTCTCAAGGAATTTACATTCTAATTAATGGGGAAGGACATGCAAAAGGGAGTTGAAAAATGGTGGGAGTGGGGAAGCAGGGGAAATGAAGGTGCCAGAACAGTTCTGGAGTCCAGAAGGCAGAAACCGGGCTAACAGGGGAATGAAAGCTATCTTGTGCCCGTCCACAAAATGGAGGCCCCAGGAGGAACTCACTAATGGGAGAACATGAATCTTACATAAGGCTATTCCAGGTTGAGAAGGCTCATAGGAATGGTTGGATGTTCCCGGGCGAGGAGACCCTAGGTGCTGGGAGAAGTTCCAGCATAAGACAGCAGCAGAGACGTGGTTCTCAATTCTGTAAGCCAGGAATAGGGCTGCAAGGGAAATGAGAGTGGAGGAATTATGGAACCACCCTAGGTTGCTGGACAGACTTGGGGCCTCATAACACTTGGGTTTTAGGCCTGGCCCTGCCACTAAATCATTGGGTAACAATGGCCAAATTTCTTTGCATCTCTGAGTGTCAGTTTTCTCATATATAAGTAAAAAATAATGCTATATATAATATATAAATAAATAAACTACCACTTCTATTTACAAAACACTTTAAAGTTTTTGAGCACTTCACATATATTATCTCTTTTGAGCTTCACAGTAACTCTATGAGTTGGATGATCCCTATATTACAAAGAAGGAAACTGAGTCTCAGAGATATAGTGACTTGCCTAGGATCACGTAGCTAGTAAGTATCAGTGGCCAAAATGGAGCCAAGGTCTTCCTGACTCCTGCAGACTAGTCCACTTCACCGCCCCTCTGTTAAATGAGGAAGGATGGGCCAGTGCCACTGTATGATTGCTAAGGTTCCCAACAAGCTTTGAAATCCTACTATTCTGTGTGAATAAATGTATGGGGAGGGGAGGATCCACTGTCTCTGAGGTTTCCCAAAGGTACCTGAACAAATGATGCTACTCGCAATGGTATCTGCTAGTTTTCCTTTGGCTAATTAATCACCTAATTTTCAACATGTGCTGTATTAATTCAAAATAATTCAGTGACTGCAGGGGATGATGGTGGGGCAGGTGAAGAATCCTTGTGAGAATCAATCAAGTCTTTAACAGATCTCCATTATTGAAGGTGGATTGTAAACTTTTAACATTTTCACCCTAATCAGTTATTTGTATTTTCTACTCTTTGCTGAAGTTACTTCCTGTATTTTCAACTATAAGAAATATGATGTAATTTATCCCAGAAACTAGAATGTATTTAATCATATCCTACACACTGCCGCCCCCGCCCCATCACTTAGAGCAAAGTAAAGATTCCTATAGGATGTCTGAGCTTAGACTCCAGCTAGACACCAGACATGCAAAATTAATCACTTACTCTTTCTCTGTGTAAGCTGCAGTCAAGGAGATAATTAAATATAAATTTTCTATGCTGAGAAATTATGCTAGTATATATTCAGCTGTATATTTACTCTGGGAGCCTGCAAATAGGAGGGCAGAGTTTTAAATTTTTGTATAAAGCAATGGATGGCAAGATTCTACTTGACCAATAAGGAAAACACATTTGCTCATAACTGGAGGGAAAAGACAGACAGATGAATAAATAAATAAATTACCAACAATTGATTTCATTCCTGCTCCTACTCCTCATTGTCACATTAATGGCCAAAACAATTTCCATTTGGCTCAGTTCTTTGTGAATTTTTATCTCTTCCATCTTGTGAAAATACTGTTTGCCCTGGACGTGCTGACAGATGCTAGAATCAGCAAAGAGCTAACAGGTGTTGCTTTCCAGAAAAGAAAACTTTCAGCCCCCCTCCCCTTTCTTGCTATTTTTGAAATCTCCACCCTGGATCAAGATCCTAGTAATGGGCAGGAGAGGGAACTTCCAGTTTTTTTAAACTTTAGCTTCTAATCTCATTGTTTTCTGTTTGTTTTTCCATGTCCACTCCCTGTGACCCAGGAAATTCTAGGCTCTGGGTGCCCACTGTGGGGCTTGTTTGCAGAAGGACAGCAAGACAAAGCTGGGAGCTAGTGAGTGTTGAGGGTGGGGGAGTGGGGGTAATTGCTCATCTGTGAAGGATCTAGGTTTAAACACAAGTCACAACAGATGGACTTTTTTTACCTTTACCTTTTACCTAATTTTGGACAAAAATCTTGGATCATTGCGCGGGATGTGTACATATGTGAAAGAAAGGGAGTCATTGTGCTGTAGTGGAAGAGCATTGATTCAGGAGACAGAGGACTTGAGTTCAAATTCCACCACTGATGTGTGGGTGAATCCCACCTGTATAACTACAGGCAATTCACTTAACCTCTATGGACCTTGATTTCCTCATCTGTAAAATGAGGGGGTTGAACCAGACGGCCTTTGGGGTCTTTTCCACGTCTAAATATAAATGTAATCCAAGTGTATGCCAAAATAAGAATTATCACACAATGAAAGACCCCAAAGAGCACACTTTGCACAAAGTGGGAATAGAGGTATAAGCTGAGCTGGGCTCTCTTCACAGGTCTTTTGTGCTGTCATCACTTAATAATTAACTTGAAATAACCCTCCTAGTTTAACAAATGGCCATCAATAGAAAAACCCATGTATATTCCAAAAGCAGCAGGGTATATATAAATTTGCAGTTTTTTGGCAGAAGGTATTGAAGTGAAGGTGTGTACATAATACCTCTTTCTCTTTTCTACTGTGCTTGGAACATTTTTTTTTTAATTTGTTGCAGAGAGCCTGGGTGTTTTCAGTCCTCTAGAGTTGAAGGGAATGTTATTTTTAGCCATCTAAGACAGTTGTGAAAGGCAGCTTACTGTAATAGCCTGACTGCTGGACCCAGAGTCAGAAACCTTGGATTCAAATACTATCTCCGACCCTTACCAGCTATGAACTCTGACTACTGGTGACCATAAGCAAGTCACTTAGATTCTCTGAGCTTCAGACAACTCTCTCATACTTATCAATTCAGTTATGGACATGTTACAGTCTTTTTTAGGTGGAGGATGTTTCTACCCAGGGCCTTAATGTAGCAATGTCTGACAATTGCAGTAATAGATTATTTTATCTTGAATATCTTGGATAGTTTAAAAAAACACATTTGTGGTTAATTCATTGACCATTCTTTCATTAAACATTTATAAGCTCCTACTATGTGTAAGCCTCCATCCTAGGTGCTAGACAACAAAGATAAAGGAGATATTTCAAAGAGATTATTATAGTCTGTCTATCAGGGGAGATAAGCTGTATGTATTCATGATGACAATACAAAACAGTGTGATGAGTGCATGAAAGAATGACATCTGTGGGGCAATTGTGTCCATCGGTAGAGGATCATGGAAAGTTTCACAGAAGAAGTAAGATTTTCATTCAGAAACATTTATTACTCTGGTAGGGACCAGGGGAGCTACAAGTTTTGAGTCCTTGCCCTCCGGTACCTTGCAATTTTGGGGTCAGATGTTAGGATAGTACATAAAATCATACAAATTCATACAAAGATAAATGCCTAAGAGGGGTATTAGGCAGCTTGGTGGCACAGTGGATAGAGCACCAGACCTGGAGTCAGGAGGACCTGAGTTCAAATATGTTCTCAGACCTTACTAGCTGTGACCGTGAGCAAGTCATTTAACCACTGTTTGCCTCAGTTTCCATATCTGTAAAATGGGGAAAATAAGAGCACCTACCTCCCAACAACAGAGTCTTGGGAAAGGCTTAAAACTCCCAAAGGTTGTTTTAAGGATCAAATAAGATCATTTTAAAGTGCTCAGCACAGTGCCTGGCACGTAAGAAGTGCCATATAAATTGTATCTATTAATGTTATAATTATCATTGTTGTTTTCTTTGAGA